TGTATCAATCCCAACTGTGCTGTAACTCAGTGTAAATCTCTGAAGTAAAGCCCGTGCTGTGGAGGAATTCCTTTGCAGATGCAAACTGGAGCTCTCACTTTAGACTGAATGAAGACTAGAGGGCTTGGATTCTCTTTTCAAAGGTACTGTCAGGTCTGGGTTGCTAACTGAGGGGAAGGTGAAGAAATAGTTTCTGAGGAGCCTCACTACCTTTGATACCAATTTTATAGTCAATTTGAAAGCTTGGTTGCATCTGAGTAAAGCTCTCTGCAGATGGGGTGGAGTAGCAGGGTCTGCCCAGCCTCCTCACACATCCACTCTGTATGGTTTTTGTTCAGGCCTGTGTCACTGTGGGTGGGAAACTATTACCCTGCTGACAGTAGTAAGTGGCGTCATCCTCAGGCTCCAGGCTGCTGATGGTGAGCGTGAAGTCTGTCCCAGACCCGCTGCCTCTGAAGCGCGATGGGACCCCGGGGTGCAGATTGGATGCACCATAGATCAGGAGCTTAGGAACTTTCCCTGGTTTTTGCTGATACCAGTGTAAACTGTTGCCAACACTCTAACTGGACCGGCATGTCATGGTGACTCTGTCTCCCGGAGATGCAGACACGGAGGGTGGGGACTGGGTCAACTGGATGTCACCCCTGGCTCCTGTATGGGAACAGAAAACACACCCACTGTTCACCCTGTCACCAGAGGACTTCCCTGAGGCCAGGGGTCCTGACCCTGGGGCTGGTCCCTTCCTGGGGTTTCCTTCCTCACCTGGGAGCCAGAGCAGCAGGAGGCTGAGGAGCTGAGCCGGGACCCTCATGTCCACACTGGGTCCTGCCTGATTGACTCTCAGAGCTGGGACTGGCCCACTAATATGTCCAAGGAGGTGGGCTGAGTCCTGGAAAGATGCAAATGAGCAGGGTGGGGCAGGCTGGGACAGCTGCAGGTGGTTCCCCTCAGACCCCCAGGGGCTTGAGAGCACAGTGCAGGGCCTGTGGCTGTGTCCCAGGGGCTCACAGATCAGGAAAACTCAGTTCTCCCTGGTAGTCACCTTTTTTATGACTGATGGTTATAAATAACAATGTTTTTGACTATTTTTTGTTACAAAAAAGCATTCTAAGTCATTGCATAAATATTCCATTTTTCTAATTAGGAAACAATAATGATTTCATTTATGATTAGTAAGTGAAACCCATATGAAATTAATTCTAATAATTATATATAAAAAGTATTTATATGGACCACTGCTGGTGCCAATATCGAACCACTATTATCAGTAAAATATGTATGTGTGTGTTTAAGTCCTTCCTGTATATTTTATATATTCTGTATATTTCTATATATATTATGCTTTAGGATCATATTTAAGATACAAAGTGAAATTTAACATTGTATTTCGATATTTCTTTATTAGAAATCAAAGTCTAATTTTGATGTCTTATAGAGTAATCAAATTTTCCCCACAAAATATTCATAAATACAAATTATTGGCTTACATGCTTCTGTGGTTCCCAGGATGAGACTAGATATATTTTACATAAAACTTATTTTGTATTTCCTGATGCTTGATATTTGTGTGTAAAAATTACATCACAAACTCTGACCAAAAAATGATGATTAAAAATGTTAACCAACAGGGAGACTGATTTGGTCAATTTTAATTGAAGCCAACAGAATCTCACCACACTCTGGCTTAGGAGAGTAGTGGGACCAGGGGAAGTCCGGAACGGCAGGCTGAAAGAGGGGCTCCGTCCTGTGACTCAGTTTCATCAGTGTAAGATCCAGTTTCTTCTTGCCGCCATCTGGGCAACGTGAGTGGCTATTAACAGATCCCTGGACGATGCGCCCTCTGGTCATGTGTGGCGTCCATTCCTTACATTCTAGCGGGCTCTGAGACTCCCTCCATGTGGTCAGGCACGGCACTGACAGGCACTGTGGTCAGGGAGAGGGTGTCCACAAAAGGCTCTTCTGGGACCCCACATTTCACCCCGTGAAAGTGCTGGAGTCAGTATTCGCCAAATCGAGTACTAATGGAGAGCTGAAAGAGCAAAAGTGATGCTTTGAATGAGAGAACTCAAATGTCATATCCTGGACCTGTGCTCAAAGTGTCGCGTTAGATTACAGAAGGAAAATGTAAGCACAAGATTCAGGGAGGAGCCACCAGAAACCCAAGGGACATAAAAGAGTCCCATCATTTGTTTAATTCAGGAAAGCTTTTTTTTTCTTATTTTAGAAAAAAGGAGGAGTGCGGTAAAGCAGAAGACCACCTTGAGGAGAAATAAACAGCAAACATAGTGAAAGTTGCCAGCCCTTCTGGGCGCAGGGATTTTAGCCCATAGTGTCAGAGCACTGCTGTCCCGTGGGCCTGGGTGCTGGATGGTCTCATGGGGGGCCTGATGCACTGAAAACCCCTGTCCATGATTAAAAGACAGCTGGCAGTTAATGAGATTCCAGTGGACTCTACCTTTCCAGGTAATACACATATATAAACTTACCTTACCAGTTCCCTCTTCCTCCATTTCTATTAGGAGTGGCTTGAACACTCAATATGTATCCTGACTTTTAGGCTTTTGTATTGATAATTATTTATCAGGCAGGCTCAGCTGGTTGGTTCTGCGCCAGCCCCCTGAGTGACTCCAGCTGTGGGTGGTGATGACCGGAGCTAAGGTTGTGGGGGCACAAGGACCCCCGCAGTGCATCTGTGTCCTCGCTGTGGCTGGAGTAAAGTCCCCAGCCAGACTGCACATGAGATTGGAGTGCGAACATCGCAACACAGAGGCACACAACTTGATTCAGCCCTTTGCCTTGGTTATTTCTCTAGCTTTTAAAGCTTTTACGCCATTTAATTTTCCAGGTGTTCGTACATGCATTGGCCATTATAGTTTTCAATTTTACCATCTTGAAATATTTTCAATTACATTTTTAAATTAGAAATTAAAGCAGATATGTTTTCACCACATGACTTCAAAGAGAAAAACTTTGAAAAGCTTTATCTCTTCAGTTGAACTAAATGCTTACTTAAATTATGTTTCAGATTCACATACTGACCCCTGTGTCTGAAAATAATCCAGATTCTCACCCATATGTATAAAGTGGCACCAGCAATTTTGAATTTCTAAAAGCCCCTAGTAGCAAGAGAAGTACTGCTCACTTCTAGACAAATTTTGAAAAGCAATGTCATTGCCCTTGAGGAAATCTAGGCTGCTCCTGCATAGTTTATTCTTTCTTTTTTTTAATTTTTATTGAGGTAATATTGATTTATAGCACTACATGTTTAGGGGTACATGTTTGTGTCTCTCCATATGTAATTTACAGAACACCCACCCATCGCCAAAAATCTTTCACCATAATCCACTGAACACCATTCTTCTTTTGTTCCCAGCCTGCATCTTCTGCTTTTGATAGCTTCAGTTCTACTGTCATTTTTTTTTTCTAGTTTGTTTTTGACTTGGTTTTGTCTGTCCCCCCTTTTTTTTTTAGCATCCAGATTTTTAAAAAATATAATAGTTTATTTCTACATCCTTTTGTGCCTTTTTCCATGTCAGTTCTAATCCCCATGGACTTCTCATTACCAGTTCACTCATGTGCCATCACCATAGTCCCCTGCACTCCCCCCCCCCCCATTCTTGATCCTATTCCCCGTTCCACCCCTGTAAAATGTCTCTGGTATATAGTTGTTCATCATTATTATTATTCCCCCCCCTTGTTCCTTTATGCTCCTGCTATGAGTGAAATTATTTGGTGTATTTCTTTTTCTTTCTGGCTTATTTCACTAAGCATGATCCCTTCCAGCTCCATCCATGTTGTTGCAAAAGCCATGAGTTTATCTTTTTGATTGCTGAGTAATACTCCATTGTGTTTATGTACCACATCTTTTTTAACCCAGTCATCCACTTTGGGCATTTGGTTTGATTCCATGTCTTTCCTATTGTAAAGAAAGCAGCTATAAACTTGGGGGTGCATTTGTCTTTTTGAATCAGTGTTTTTGTGTCTTTTGGGTAGATACCTTGATTCTGCATAGCTTTTTATTTTATTTTATTTTATTTTATTTATTACAAAGTTTATTTTTACATCATTTTGCACATTTTTTTTTCCATCTCGATTGTAATCCCCGCGGTTTTCCCATAACCAAATCACCCCTGTGCCACCACCATAGTCCCGTGCATTTCCCTCCCTGTTTTTGATCCCATTCCCCACTCCGCCCCCACAGAATGTCTCTGGTATATGGTTGTTCATTATTTTTGTTATTTTCTCGCCTGGTCCATTATACTCCTGCTATGAGTGAAACCATCCAGTATTTTTCTTTCTCTTTCTGGCTTATCTCACTAAGCATGATCTTTTCCAGCTCCATCCAAGTTGCTGCAAAAGACATGTGTTTCTCTTTTTTGGTTGCTGAGTAATATTCCATTGTATATATGTACCACATCTTTCTAATCCAGTCATCTACTTTTGGGCATTTGGGCTGCTTCCATGTTTTTCCAATTGTAAATAAAGCAGCAATAAACATGGGGGTACAAGTATCTTTTTCAATCAGTGTTTTTGTGTCTTTTGGGTAGATACCTAGGAGTGGGATTGCTGGGTCCTAGGGAAAAAGCTCCATGTTTAGCAGTTTGAGGAACCTCCAAACAGTTTTCCATAATGGTTGTATTAGTTTGCATTCCCACCAGCAACTGCATAGCCTTTTTTAAAAGATTTATTTATTTATCCATACAGAACTGGGGTACAGGCCAGAAATGCGGAGGGTGAGAGGATTCACCAGAGACAGAGTGGAGAGCAGAACAGGCAGATCAACGAAGTAAACTGCTGAGGGGAGCAGCAGGCGGGCCAGGAGAGGTCTGCCACGCCATGTGGTCACCTCCGGGGCAGGCGGGGATCAAACTCATGCAGAAGTGGTTTAAGCTTCTTTGTGCTGTGCTTTAACCCGCTGCGCCACCAGGGAGGGCTGATTCTGCATAGCTTTTTAAATAAATGTTATTGAGCTACCATTCATTTTCAAGAGAATGCAATTTCAAAGTCTGGCTTCCATGAGTTTACATGCTTCACTCACCATCCTCAATTCCTGTGACTTCATAGTATTGAACCCGTGTCCTCTGTCCTGCAAGCCATTTACACCCACTCTCCCTCTGGTAACTTCCATATTTTTCACAAAGTCTAAGAGCAATTTTTATGTAATTCTTCTCATTGGTCACACAATTTTGATATACTTAGTATCTTACATATTCAATTTCCCTCCATGTTTTTCTGCTTACTCTTTATCTACTAACTGAAGCTGCTCTAGTTTATCTTGGGACAAAAGTTAACAGCAAAATCTTAAAACTGACTAATTTATGCTGGTTGAACCCCAACCAAAGCTTTAACTCAGTTCCCTGGGTTTATTTACCTCTGTCTTTACAAATCAGCAGTGACACTTACATGTTAGGGTTTTTATACTGAAGAAGAGAAAGAGAATTAGGGTGTTAAGGAGCCATCGAGTTTTCATTAAACCTTTCAGTCATCTGCAAAACTTAGCTGTATCTGAGAACCATTCTCAGTAGTGAGAGCACCAGAAGGACCAGAGGACTTGTCCAATCCCAACAACAGCTTCCTTGGGGTTTTTGGTGAGGCCTGTATCACTGTGGGCGGGTACCTGTAATCCTGCTGACAGTGCTAAGTGCCGACATCCTCAGGCTCCAGGCTGCTGATGGTGAGCGTGTAGTCTGTCCCAGACCTGCTGCCACTGAAGCGGGAGGGGACCCCAGGTTGCAAATTGGATGTCCAATAGATGAGGATCTTAGGAGCTTTCCCTGGTTTCTGCTGAAACCAGTCTACCACATTGCTAACATCCTGGCTGGCCAGGCAGGAGATGGTGACTCCCTGAGATGCAGACATGGAGGGTGGGGACTGGGTCATCAGGATGTCACCCCTGACCCCTGTATGGGAACAGAAAACACACCCACTGTTCACTCTGTCACCAGAGGACTTCCCTGAAGACAGGTGTCCTGACCCCAGGACAGGTCACCTCCTGGGTTTCCTTCCTCACCTGGGAGCCAGAGCAGCAGGAGGCTGAGGAGCTGAGCCGGGGCCCTCATGTCCCCGCAGGTCCTGCCTGACTGACTCTCAGGGGCTGTGACCGGCCTACTAATAAGTCTCCAGGGAGGTGGACTGTGTCCTGGGGACATGCAAATGAACAGGGCAGGGCAGGGGGGACAGCTGCAGGGTGACTCCCCTCACAATCCCCAGGGGCCTCAGAGCACAGTGCAGGGGCCCGTGGCCTGTGTCCCAGGAGCTCACAGAGAACACAGTTCTCTCTGGGGATAACATGGGACTGGTCATCATAATCATCCCTTTTGCCATTTTATTAGCAAAATGCATTCTAAATATTTCCATAAAGAGCAGTGTTCTTTATGATGAGGAACAAATTGTGACATGCATAGGAGTACATGTCTAATGAAAATATATGGGCTATTGCTGATATCAATATTACCACTATTATTATTAGTAGTAGTGGTACTGTTATCAGAAAATGTATATGTATTTTTATGTGGGCACATATATGATCAAATCCTTTTTCTTTTCTTCATTAATTTCCTACAGATCATATTCTGTCTCAGGTTTGTATTAAAATAACGAAGTGAATTTTAATCTTATATTAGAGCGTTTTTTTGACAGTCTTATTAAATAGCTAATTATTCCCCAGAAAATATTGATTTACATAATTTTTAGCTTTCATGTCTTCATGGTTTCTAGTTAAGAGCAGATCTATCTTTTTTTTTTTCTTTTTTTTAACTACACAGTGCTCAGGGGAACTGCCCTCTTTGCCACCAAGTTCCAAGAGGAACTTCAGAAACACATTTAAAAATCAAGAGTCTAAGACAGAGATATGAGTTTATTCACCATGTCCTCATATAGCTCGGTGATCTGAAGAGAGTCCATGGGCTGATACCACACCTCCGTGTATGAATTCATTTCTGAAAGTTCAGGCTCATAAACACATAGACCCCATAATATTAATAAATTTAGGTTTCAAGTTGGCTGCAACTTGTCTGGATGGGAACAGTGAGTGCAAACATTTCACATGATGAAATTTTTCTGGACTTTATTTAATAGTAAATTTTAAGTTGATCTTCAGACTCCAGAGCTTGAGGATGTCAGACACATGAACTACATACAGCAAGTGGAGCCACAGCACAGTTCCCCATCTCCTTGGCCCCCCAACAGGAAACAATGGGTATGGAATATTAGCCACCTGGGAGTGGAAGGGCTTGGGCCGGGGCAAGTTATTTAGTCACTACAATTAAATTGTAACAAAATTCCTGCTTCATCTTTGAAATTCAATAAGTAATGTGGTGGAATTACTAGCAGCTCGTATCATATTAAAGCTCATAATCCTGCAGGGAGAAAAGACATCCTCCATGAATCAATGCAACGTGGGATAGGTTTGCTATTTACCTCTTCCCCTGTGACTCTTCCCCAGGGTCCTCTAATGAGCTCCTGGAACAGTGATGACACTGCTGGTCCTGCCCAGATTCTAAGCAACAAGGCCTTTGCATGTTGAGGAAAAAGAGTGCGTGCCAACACACGTATACACATGGATACAGATGCATGCATTCTTTTTTCCTGATTGTTACTTCTTTGTTTATTTTAATTTTATGTCTTTTAAAAAATTTTAAAATATGTTCATTACACCATCCTTCATTTTTGTTCAATGTATGATTTACCACCTAAACACCAGTGAGAAGGGCACAAATTTAAAAAACTAGCAACAACAAATGTTGGCGAGGATGTGGAGAGAAAGGAACTCTCCTGCACTGCTGGTGGGAAGACAAACTGGTCCAACCACTCTGGGGGGCTGCATGCAGGTTCCTCAAACTACTGGAAATGGAGCTCCCATATGATCTAGCAATTGCACTCCCCGGAATCTACCCAAAGGACGGATGCATTTTTTACCAAGGAAGTCTATCAAATGATTGCTATATATTTAATGCAATTTTCTTACTTTTCTGTTTATTTATGAATTAAAGTTTTCTTGATACCCCAGATTTGATGATATTTGGAGGAGGATTTAAGGAACCTATAAAAACCTGATAGCTGGGGAATGAGTGATAATGCTGGTTATCTGCAGTAAGCTTCCCAACATCGCTACCATATCTGGAAGCACATTGCCAAGAACCACTTTACTCTCTGTGATTTCTTGCAGAGTGGTCCGATGAGGGTGTTGCCCTAAAAACTGGAAGTCAGAAGAGGAAGCTTTAATTCTGTCCATGAGCATTGGCAGGCAGGTGTGTGGGAGCAGCTGACAATGAGACTCACCTGGTGAGACCTTCTAGGTAGCAGGGAGCATCATTGGCCTCACTTCCGAGTTGCATGAACAAGTCAGAGTCTGGACCTACAGCTTGATTGGAATCTATGCTCTGACTCTGGGGGGATGCCAGGATCACTCACTTCTGGCATTGTTTCATCATCACCATATCCACAGGCATGTGAAATGGTGTGACTTAGTTTTGATTCCCATTATTAACAAAATAATTCCTTGGACTAGAATGATTTCTCTTTTACTCTTTGAACACTGGCTGACGCAATAACCCAGACTCCTCAAACAATAATCATTGTCTTTATTAAATCAGATACTGATTGTTCCCTTCATGCTGCTGGGGCTCTGGGGGAGGAAGAGTAAGGGTGTATAAAAGCCTGACTTCTTTAAAGTGTAGCTGCATCTGAGGTGTGCTCTGAGCAGCTGGGGCACCATATGGAGCAGCTGGGCTGCCCGGCCTCACATAGCTGCTCCCAAGTGGTTTTTGTTCAGGCCTGTGGGAGGGAGATTACCCTGCTGACAGAAGTAAGTGTCGGCATCCTCAGGCTCCAGGCTGCTGATGGTGAGCGTGAAGTCTGTCCCAGACCCGCTGCCACTGAAGCGGGCTGGGATGCCACTGGGCCTCTTGGATGTCTCATAGATGAGGAGCCTGGGAGCCTGCCCAGGTTTCTGCTGGTACCAGTGTAAGTAACTGCTGCTAACACTCTGACTGGCCCTGCAGGAGATGGTGACTCTGTCTCCCCATAGATGCAGACATGGAGGGTGGGGACTGGGTCAACTGGATGTTACCCCTGCCCCCTGTATGGGAACAGAAAACACCCCAATGTTCACCCTGTCACCAGAGGACTTCCCTGAGGACAGGGGTCCTGACCCCGGGGCTGGTGCCCTTGTGGGTTTCCTTCCTCACCTGGGAGCCAGAGCAGCAGGAGGCTGAGGAGCTGAGCGGGGGCCCTCATGTCCACACTGGATCCTGCCTGGGACTGACTCCTTCAGGGGTTCAACAGCAGACTATTTATAAGTGAGCAGGGAGGGGCTTGCTGGGCGGAAGAGAATGCAAATGAGCAGGGCAGGGCAGGCTGGGACAGCTGCAGCTGGTTCATCTCTGTATCAGCCCAGCACAGTACCCCAGGGCTCCAGATCAGACCAGGCATTTACCTGCCGAGAATGTGTTTTTTCATGGGGAACAAGGGCACAATCAATCTGTGAATAGTGTTATTTTTAGTCTCCTCAAGGCTGAGGAGAATAAAGCTTCTTTGCTTTCTCTCCAATGAAGACAGGGTCTTTTAGGCATGACACAATCTCAGACCTCCCTCAGTTTGGAACCTCTATATTTTCATGAGGCCAAAGAGATATCTTTTGCTAGTTCTCTGATGCTTTTTTTTTGTGCTACATTATCAGCACTATCAACCAGAGGTGCTATAACTTAGAAGCCCAAATAGAATAACTGAGTGGCTAGGACTTGGAAGGAGGGGACCGAACACCCTATCTGCCGTCACTCACCTGTGATCCCCAGCTCAGCCTTTACGAGCACTCTGCCCCACCTTTTCCACCCACACCAGCTAAGTGCAGGGATGTCCCCTCCACATCTGAGAAGCTCAGCCCCATTCCCAGCACTGTTGCTATGAAGCCTATCCATGCTAAGTCTACCCCGAATTTCCTACAGTATTGCTCCTGGTTTCTCTCTCCTCTGAAGTCAACTTCTTTCTCTTTAGAAGCTGAGGTTCTCCCTAGACCAAGTGCTCAATTATAACCTTGAATCTACTATGTCCTCTAAAGCTGCCTATTGTACCATCACCGAGTCTTGTGCAGTTCCTAAAAAGGGGCTATTCTTAATGGTTAGGTTTAGAACATTGGGGCCCAAGCAGAGGGAGTGAAGGTAGAAGCCTGTGCAGGGTGCTGGAGCCTACACAGTGTGGGACAGTCATGCCCAGGGGTGAAGACAGAAGTGCAACTGGGGAGCTTGAGCTAGAAGAGAGGAAGGTGTCCCCACATGCATGAGGTGTGCCCAGTTTGGGTGTGCAAGTGAAGGGACATATAAGAGGATATGGGATGTTTGCATGGTGGGACCCATGTGCAGAAGTCAGAGTCCAGAGTGGATGACAGGGCACCCGTGCAGGGGAACAAAGATGACGGAGGCCTTGCAATGGCCTTGCAAGGACTGGAGTGGGGTGTGCGTGCGTGTGTGAGCACACATGTGTAGGTGGAGTTTTCTGCAAGTACAGAGGACAGGCACAAGAGTGATTTCAAACAGGTCTCCGACAGATGTTGGTCAAATAGACAGGCATTTGTGATACACAGAGTCAAGCTTAGCACTGTCGGAGAAAGGATTTATGAATCACGGAAGAAGTGGGAAGGTTAGAAGAATGATGCCTGGAAAAGAAGCATGGGAGGACACATGGGGTGAGGCAGAGGTGAGAAATCTTTCCATCACATGCTCCTCCTGCCAGAGCCTCCATCACACAGGGACTCCCCATCAAATCACCACAACGCTGGGCCGCTGGATGGCAGCTCCTGCCCAGTGGCGCCCATGGGTGGGCTCCAGGGAATGCTCAGACCTTATGGCACAGACTCCCCTCACCAACACAGGTGGGGTGTCTTCACCAGTTATTTGGCTCGTGTGCTACAGGATTGTGGTTTGCTTGATTCCTTGTGAGTGTGTGTGTGTTGCTTGATTTCTTTATACGTTCCTTATACTCACTCCTGACAGCTGTGTACATTGCAACTATTTCAATTATTTTCTTCCATTTTTTGCTTTTTTTTTCTGTTCCCAGTGTTCTCTTTGTATTTATGATCCTTAATTTATTGCTATATAATTTATTTATATCAAATACTCTGTACTTTACTGAGTGGTTTAATAATTATGCTTTTGGTATATAATGAAGCCTTCTTACCTAATGCCAGATTTTTATATTTCAAGTTTTCATTCCTGATCTATCATTATTTTGATAGTAGTTATAGCACAAAATTAGATTAGTTTACTATTTTCTCTATAAATATTAAATGGCCCTTCCATTTCCCTTTAATCCATCTTTCCAAATCAACTTTGCAAATGTATTTTCACTCTCTTTGGTTCTATTTAACTATCATTACCTACGAATCACTCAATATCTTTCAGTTTTAGTTTAAAACTCTAGTTATTCTAGTGTATGTTGTTGCAACTTTTATTTCCTCATTTGTTTTCATTAAGAATGAATTGGATTTCTTGCCCACTTTGCTCTACCACAAATATTTTACACATCACTCACTAACTTTCTTTTTATATCAAATTAGTAAGCACCATAAGAATGAGGCTATTTACCTATTTACCTGTCTATCTATCTGGAAGAGTATGAGAACTTACCTTTACATTTTGAGACTTCAGGCCATAAGTTCAGTATAATTAAAGTTTCCTTTATCCCTTTATGCATCTCACATTTATCACAAACTTTTTTTTTGTGTTTCCTGATTAAACTAATATGTGTTAATGTAACATAAAATAGTATCAAATTTTTTTTCTTCTTCCAGTGTCAAAATTTTGTGGCTACAAATGATATAATTTCTTAAGTTACTGTTGTTAGCTATGGGTATGAGTGTGTAGAAATGTAACATACAATCAGCTGGTTAAAACATATCATAGTTATTTTAAAAATATATCTTGGTGTTTTTCTCTACATAGGCATTCATATCAGTTATACATCTTGAAGGTTTTTCCTTTCATTCCATAATTTTTAATTGCTAATTTTCTGGGCTAGCACAGCCAAGAAAACATTGAATAAACATATTGATGTCAAATTCTTGTGTCTAATTTTACAGATACTGTTAACGGTCAAAGAAATATTTTTTAAAAAGTTTTGTAAACTGAGAATATATATATTAAAAGCCATGAATAGATGTTGTGTTTTCTTTTGCCTAAACTTATTGAGCTATTACATTTCCTCTTTTCTGTTAATGTGTTGAAATAACTTTAAGTATAATATTATCAAGAAACCTTGCATCATTGGGGAACAGTAGGCACTTATAATACTTACATTTTTAATATATTTTAATATTATTGATTTCAGATTGATCTCTTTAGGATATATGCATCTTATGAAAGAATGATGTATTTTTATCACCCACTTTGATGTATCTTTATTTTGTTGTCAAAAGTTATAGTAGCCTTGTATAGTGATTTGCAAGTGTTCTCTTTATTTTGTTTTTTTTTCCAGAAAGATTAATAGATCATTTGAATTTTCTCAAATTCTTATGTGTAATTTTACAGATACTGCAAAATAGAAACTTATAAAATGAACATGTGTTCATTTTAATTGTGGTAAAATTTTAATTGCTGATATCTGTATTTGTCCTCAAAGAGGAATCATTTTTTTTTTTAAGATTTAGTTATTATGCATACAGAAGCCAGAGGTGCAGGGGCAGTGAGAGGATTCACCAGACACAGAGAGGGGAGCAGAACAGGCAGATCGACAAAGTACACAGCTGAGAGGAGCAGCGGGTGGGTCAGAAGAGTTTTGCTGCGCCATGTGGGTCACCTCCGGGGCCGGGGATTAAACTTGCACTGAAGAGGCTGTGGCTAGCTTGCAGTGCTACGTCCTAACACATTGTGCCACCAGGGAGGGTCAGCATCTATATTTTAAAGTAAAATTGACAGTGTCTTGCAGGCTTTCCTGGAACTGCACCATTCTTGTGAAATTTGGGAAATCAAATTTCAGATACATACTAATTAACAAACCTATTTCATGGTAAACATTCTTATGATTCTAGCTCCTATCCTAGTTATTTTTCTAAACTTTACATTTGCACTTTTTAAAGACTAACTAGTTTTTTTTTTTTTTTAAACCAATGACTTGTGGGAACTCTGGACTTTCTTCATATTAATTACAACCTCCTCCTCACACACCCCCTTCCTGGAACTCAGAGAAAATATTATTTGGTTCATTAAAATTCACTTGTTTTAGTTAATATTTCTCTTCCTACAATAAACCCAGTGTTTGATCTATGCTGAACAAAATAAAATCTCCTAGGAGAACCTAAGGCAAGAGCAAAACCCTATGCTGCATACTAAGATGACATTAAAGCAGGGGACTGTGGAGGTGAAGACATCACAGGATAGGAAGGCGGATAGAGTGACATCAAAACATGGTGACAGAGGCAGTTTCTTTCCTTCTCTCCCAGGAGGAGCACCTGACAATGCTTCAGGGTGGGGTGAAACACCCCTTTCTCCTCAGTGCCCAATACAGGGGCACCAGGGGGCAAGTGAGGAAGATCCCTGCTTCACTGGACAGGAAGTGGGTCGACAGGGAGTCCTGGAGCCTGTGAAGGCTCCAGGGTGGAGGACAAGATGGCCAAGGATGCTGGCCTGATGGGGAGCTCTGGGGAGGGGAATTGGAAACAGTAGGAGGCATCAGCCTCAACGCTGGCCAAGCGCATGTGGAGAAGCTGAGATTCCCCACACGTCAGGAGATGGGTAAGGAGGACAAGAAAGGTGTTCTGCGCCACACCCCCTCAACTCCTGGGGATGGTAATGACCTTGGGGTGGACAGACTATGGCAGAGCTGGCACCAGAAAGAAGGTATCAACATTGCGCACACTGCACACCAGACTCCCACTGTACATTTCTGAAAGAGCCTGGAAGACCCCTTCCTTATTCTGCTGGCACAGCAAATGCAGCCGTCTCTGTAACCACTGAAGCTGGGAGAGGCTAATAAAATGAAACCATAGTGCCATCTGCAGGACAAGTATGCACAGTTCAGTGGCTGATAGTTACACAATCTTTTATGTGGGAAATTTTATTTTTATTTATTTAATGAAGTACCATTGTCTTACATCCTCATTAATTTTTTGCCAGTACAGGATTTCTGTCCTCAGGGATGGCCACTGATGCTCTCCCACCCCAACGCACCTGTAGTGCTCTCCCTAGCCTGGTGTTTTCTCCCCACACCCGAATGTCCCTTCTCATTCCTCCCCTCCCTGTCTGCATGCTTCAGATCTGTGGTCAGCTTTCAAGTGTTGATTTTAATTGTTCTTTTTTGTCTGACCCTTTGTTGGTTTTTCCATATCCATATATAAGGGTCACCGTTGGCTATTTATCTTTCTCCTCTGGCTTATTTTCACTTAACATTATCCCTTCCAGCTCCATCCATATTACTGCAAATGACAGAAGTTAATTTTTTTTTAAGATTTATTTAAGCATACAATACAGAATTGGGGTGCAGGCCAGAGGTGCAGAGGCAGTGAGAGGATTCACCAGAGACAGAGTGGGGAGCAGAACAGGCAGATTGAAGTACACTGCTGAGGGGAGCAGCAGGTGAGACAGGAGAGGTCCGGTGTGCCTATGGATTACCTCTGAGGCAGGGATCTAACTCCACTGAAGTGGCTGCGGCTGGCTTGCCACTAAGCCACTGAGCCACCAGGGGCGGCCCATGAGTTAATCCTTTTTGATTGCTGAGTAGTATTCCATGCTGTTTATATCCCACATCTTGATCTTCTCACCTGTTTTGGAGCACTAAGGTTGTTTCCACTAGTTAGCTGTTGTAAATAGTGCTGCAACAAACAATGGAGTGCAGATTTCCTTTTAAGTTAGTGGTTTTGTCTTCTCTGCTAAGATTCCTAGGAGTGGAATTGCTGGGTCATATGGCATTTTTAATCTGTTAAGGAAGTTACATGCTACTTTTCATTGGGGCTGGATCAGTCTGCCCCCCACCCCCACTGGCACAGGAGGGCTCTCCACCCCAGCACTTGTTTCTGGTCTCTCTCTTTTTTTAAAGATTTATTTATTTATGCATACAGATGGGGTACAGGCTAGAGATGCAGGGGTGGTTATAGGATTCACCAGAGACAGAGTATGGAGCAGAACAGGCAGATCAATGAAATACACTGCTGAGGGGAGCGGGGGGTGTCAGGAGAGGTTTGCTGTGCCATGTGGTCAGCTCCCGGGTGGGTGGGGCTCGAAATCACGCTGAAGTGGCTTTAGCTTCTTAGTGCTGTGCTTTAACCCACTGCGCCTCCTAGAAGGCCGTGATTCTGGTCTCTTTACTGTGGGCAATTCTCATTGGCGTGAGGTGGCAGCTCACTGTGATTTTGACTTGGCGTTTCCCTGGTGCTAAGTGATGAACACTCTTCCCCGTGCCATCTGTATGCCTTTTTTTTGGAGAAAAAAGAATGTCTGTTTAACATTTCTGTGCAATTTTTGATTGGGTCCATTTACTCTATGTTGAGTGTGCAGTGTGCGCAATGTTGATACCTTCTTTCTGGTGCCAGCTCTGCCATAGTCTGTCTACCCCAAGGTCATTACCATCCCCAGGAGTCGAGGGGGTGTGGCGCAGAGCACCTTTCTTGTCCTCCTTACCCATCTCCTGACATGTGGGGAATCTCAGCTTCTCCACAGGTGCTTGGCCAGCGTTGAGGGTGATGCCTCCTACCGTTTCCACTTCCCCTCCCCAGAGCTCCCTGTCGGGCCAGCATCCTTGGCCATCTGTGTCCTCCACCCTGGAGCCTCCACAGGCTCCAGGACTCCCTGTCTATCCACCTCCTGTTCAGTGTGCCAGTGTGTTTTTGTAGGTATTTGTTATCAGTCCCTTGTCAGATAGATGGTGTGAAAATATTTTCTCCCATTCTGTGGGGAGTCTCTTCATTTCGTTTACAATCTACTGTGAACACGCTTTTTAGTCTGATGTAGTCCTAATAATTTTTTCTATTCTCTGATGTTTTCCATGTTCCTGGAGAAAAATCGACAAAGATATCTCTGAAATTTACATCATGGAGTGTTCGCCTATGTTTTCTTCTATTCATTTTAAGGTTTGGAAGATGTAAGGACTGGAGAGTCACCTCGTGAGCTGCTCCAGGTAGCTGAGACCATGAGCACCTGCAGCTCTGGGCTCCAGGACAGGTCTGAGGCCACAGATTAGGTGTGTGTATCTCCAGGGCATAGTCTTTTCTGAGAGCAGTAGGGAATCATTTTCTCCAAGTATCTTCTTTCTTATTATTGTTAAGGTCCGAAATTACCCGGTTGCCTCCCGCGACACAAAGGACAGGACCAGTGATGCACAAGCAAGCGGAGTTTATTGAGCCAGCTAGCTGGGGTCAAGCTTTCTTGCAGGCATGCAGGCCACACAAGGGAAGCAAGACCCCAACCAGAGGGATGTCAGGGAATATATAGGCCTCATTGGCCGTTACATGAGTCATAGCCAGCGCAAATTCAACTTAGCAAATGAATTCAAAGATTAACAAGCTTCACAGCTCGAGTCACAGTTCAACCACACAAGGGCGTGTTTATCAGAATCCAATTTCGACCTGTCCCAGGGATTAAGGCTAGGGTGTGGTGTCTGTGTGCATATCTGTCTGGGCATAGGGAGGGGTCACACAGACACAAAGGAAGGCCTAGGGGCAGAATTACTGGTGGGGCCCAACAATTATATCACCAGGCTTTTGAAAGAATGTAGACATTAATTCTCCAAATTTAGCAGTTCCTGCTGGACTATCTAGAGTGGCAACTCTTTTATTTCACAAGCACTGGCTGATGCTATAACACAGATTCCTGAGGAATAAACACCATTTTCTCTATCACATAAGCCGATGCATTGTCCTGTTTGTGCATTTGGGGCTGAAGAATAGAAAAGAGTAGCGTCATGAGGGGCCACCCTGGCCTTTCCTCCAAATCTTTCTAGTTAGTTTCAGTGCATGGCTGCCTTGGAGGAAAGATTCTCAGCATACAGGTCTCAGGAGGAGCAGCTGGGGCTGCCAGACCTCACACAGCTGGGTGGTTTATATTCAGGCTTCAATCACTGTGGGAACCAGCCTTTACTCTCCATACAGTAGTAAGTGGCGGCATCCTCAGGCTCCAGGCTGCTGATGGTGAGCGTGAAGTCTGTCCCGGACCCGCTGCCGCTGAAGCGGGAGGGGATGCCTGGGACAGACTGGGAAGCATACTTCACAAGGAGCTTTGGGCTCTGATTTGGTTTCTTCTGGTACCAGTGTAAGCTGGTGCTGATGCTCTGACTGCTCCGGCAGGTGATGGTGGCACTTTCCCCTCGAGTCCCAGACAGGGAGGCTGGAGTCTGGGTCAGCACAATCTCACCCCTGGAAGCTGAAAGCACACAGGAGACAGAGATATTGTCATCTACACATTCAGCTAAAGAAAAGCCTATTCATAACTCTTTAAAATCTAAGATTTAAAACAGAAGTCAAATTCATGTGATGAAGGATTTCCTTTGAAGAAAGAAGCTCAGTGATTAAAACCATCATCTCATGTTTAGCTTCATCTACATATTCTTACCTGGAACCCAGAGGAACAGAACTCCAAGGAGCTGTAATGCTAACGCCATCTTTCTGCTTTGACTTCTCTCTTGCTCAAGACACACCTCTTATAAGGTTTGGAGAGACAGGAACACTTGGATGTGAGAGAAAGAGTATATGCAAATTATGGGGATTACCCGTAGGTTTAAATACTCAGAGAAGCATATCAGGGGAGCTCTCGCCCCTAACCCTTCTTTCTGTGTATTGTCTCCCTCTGCTGACCATCTGCAGATAGGGGTGTGGAGGTTTAGAAGGAGCTGACTCCATGCTTGACCAAATACAGGCACTGTCGGGCTCCCACCCGCCCAGTGCACTGTGGATTGTATCACCTGCAAGGGACAAGACATCATACGTCCAGAGTTGGCCCAAGGCTGTTACTCTCCTGTGCTCAGTCCTAACTCGTTGTCTGAACACTCCCCAGAGTGTCACACCGCACCACACACCACTGATAACATCATGTTAACTTGACTTGATGGGCAAGGAATGACCAGGAGTGTATTTAATAAAAATATGTCCGCTCCAGATGGTGGATGCAAACCCTACAAAAATTCATGGGCTTGCTACTTTGGTAAATATGTCAAGGGTCCAGATGTCTGAAGTATTCAGAGACACCCCTTCACGTTAAGACAAGTAATTGCCTTTGGCACTGCTGACAGTAGAGACTGCTGCACCGTGTTTTGTAACCACCTCTGAAAGTTTGACACAACACACCCCCGCTTGGGTAAACCACTCATCTCACCTATCAGCTCACTGCGGTCACAGTGTAAACAGGGAGTGGGAGCCAAGAGGTTCTGTGTCAGGTTCTGGTGGTGATGTCAGTGTTCTGTCATTTGGACCCAATGGCCTTGGAGTTTGGTACTGATGAATGTGTCAGAGCAGTGTGCGTCTGGCCACTCCACAAACCTTGAGAGAGAATCAAGCATTGACATCCAGCATTCTACAGCAACACCTTGTTATTCTCTAAAAAACCTTATTTCCGGTTCAGGGCCCTCCCTTGTGGCGCAACGGGTTAGGACGCAGCACTGCAAGCTGGCCGCAGCTGCTTCAGTACAAGTTCGATCCCCGGCCCTGGAGGTGACCCACATGGCATAGCAGACCTCTCCGGTCTTGGCCGCTGCTCCCCTCAGCAGTGTGCTTTGATGATCTGCCTGTTCAGCACCCCACTCTGTCTCTGGTGAATCCTTTCTCTCACACAAACCCCAGCATCTCTGGCCTTTACCCCAGTTCTGTATGCATAAATAAACATATCTTTAACAAAAGAATCTTATTCCCTGTTCAAAAAGTTGTTCCCAAAGTAATGCAGAACCTTGGTAGATGTGTCCAGGGTATATTAAGGAACTGTAACCCTAAAAACATATATATTGTTACAGGCCAGTGTTACACCATTAAACATAATTCAAACTAAAAAAAGGGAACCATTTCTTAAAAAAAAAAAAATTTATTGGACTCTCCCTGGTGTTGCAACAGGTTAAAGCATTATAAAGCTCTATGAAGCTACTGCAGCACAAGTTTGATCCCCGGCCAGGGAGCTGACCCACACGGTGTGGCAGACCTCTCCTGACCCGCACGCTGCTCCCCTCAGCAGTTACTTGTCAATCTGCCTGTTCTGCTCCTGCCTCTGTCTCTGGTGAATCCTCTCACCCACCACCCCTCTGGCCTGTTCCCCAGTTCTGTAAGCATAAATAAAAAATCTTTAAAAACAAACAAAAAAAGTTTATTTAAAAAACAACAAAATAGTATCTATCTGCTGTCAAAACCCCCACCCCCTATCAGCACTATGCTTCCCAGAACCACTTTCACCTATGGGTCCCCATAGAATTGCTCAGGTCCTCCTGAAGCTGGAAGGCAGAGGAGCATCATTCAGTATTATCTGTGGGTACCTGTGGCAGATGGATGGAGAAGGTGAAGACTGGAGACTCACCTGGTTAGTAGCGCCAGGCAGCTGAGGCATCGTCACACCCACCTCAGTTTCCTCTACAGGCCTGGGGACCCCATGGCCAGGCAGCCTGTCTCCCCAGTGGAGTATGTTCTCTGCGTTTGGGGAAGCACTAGGCAATCACTTGTCTATAGTATCTGGTTCTCTTGTTATATCCCCAGGCCTTTGAAATAATATATAATCCTTCTGTTTTTCAAGCAATTCTGCTTAGACTTTCTAGAGTGACTTCTCCTTGGCTGTATGAACTGTGGTCAATGCCGAAAACATGACTCTTCAGGTATAACTAGCTGTGTGTTTAATAAGGTAGCAGAGGAATTATCATGTCCTTGTTGCAAGAATAGAGGGGGGGAGATGAGACTTAGGACATAGAGGAGAGTCACTGTCCCATCTACCAAAAACCCTGCAGTCAGTTTCAAGGCGGCTGCAACAGAGATGTGCTGCCAGCAGACAGAGGCGTGGGGAGGAGCAGCTGGGCCCCGGCCTCAGACATCTGCTCCCTGGGTGGTTTTTGTTCAGGCCTGTGTCACTGTGGGAGGATTGTTATACCACTGCTGACAGTAGTAAGTGGCGGCATCCTCAGGCTCCAGGCTGCTGATGGTGAGCGTGAAGTCTGTCCCAGACCCGCTGCCACTGAAGCGGGCTGGGATGCCATCGGGCCTGCTGTTTGCATATTTGATGAGGAGCCTGGGAGCCTGCCCAGGTTTCTGCTGGTACCAGTGTAAGTTGTTGCTAGCACTCTGACTGGCCCGGCAGGTCATGGTGACTCTGTCTCCCGGAGATGCAGACACGGAGGGTGGGGACTGGGTCAACTGGATGTCACCCCTGGCCCCTGTATGGGAACAGAAAACACACCCACTGTTCACCCTGTCATGAGAGGACTTCCCTGAGGCCAGGGGTCCTGAACCCAGGGCTAGTCACCTCCTGGGGTTTCCTTCCTCACCTGGGAGCCAGAGCAGCAGGAGGCTGAGGAGCTGAGCGGGGGCCCTCATGTCCACGCTGGGTCCTGCCTGGGACTGACTTCTGCAGAGGTGTGACCAGCCTGTTATTAAGTCTTCAGAGCAGTGAGCTGTGCTCTGGGACATGCAAATCAGCAAGGGTGACGTGGGGCTGCACACAGCTGCAGGCCTGACTTACCTCAATAATACAGCGCTGACACAGTGTCTGTTAGGTCTTGAGGTCTCCAGAGTGCAGGAAACACTTGCTTCAGGAATGTGTTTCTCCTTGGCAGCTTTGGGAAAGGATCATTTGACTAGCCTTTGAGTATTTGGTGTTATTTTTTCCCTGTGCTCATGCTTGAAGACCTGCTTCCTTCACTATTTCTCCAGGCTGGATGTGTTGGGTCTGGCATAGCCTTTTAATTTCCAAGAGAAACTTAGCACCTCCTTTCACTGTTGGTACCCATTCACCATTCTTTTTAGTTGAAGCTTTACAGCCCTCGGCGTAGTAAAATTTTAGCATTACTGGTAGAGATACAGTGAGGTGTAAGAGTGAAACCCAACTGCTGTGGCGTCATGCTTTGTAACATGCCCATCGCTGAATATCTGGCCTCTCTAGCTCACTGAGAACAAATTACTATTTGTTCTGCTCCATTTCTGAGCAGAACAACTAAGGTGGGGCCCAGTTGTACCTGGAGTGTGTCACCTGCCAGACTCCCCCCTTCTTCCCATGCCTGTGCTACCTGCTTGCTGAGCTCCTGAGATTACTGCTTGAACCTTTTGTTTTTCCTAACTCAAGATATTCCTTTCAGAAGATGGAAAAAAATGATCATTTATTCATTTACATGTTCCCTGTGTTCTCTAACCCTGAATATTCCCCTATCACCAAATTTTTTCCTGTTCTTAAAAGAAAACTATTCTCAGTGGCTGAGCACAGGTCCCTGGGGCACAAGCAGGGAAGAAGACCACCACACGGGGAGATGAAGCTGAAAGCCCTGCACAGGAAAGGGCTTCCATGATGGGGCGGGAGGTGCGTGAGGGGGAGCCCCACAAGAGGGGTTAGAACTGAAGATGGTGAGGAAAGTGTCTCCCATAAGGGACACCTCTGTGGGGTGTTCTGTGTGTCAAGCCTGGAACAGGATGAGGTCATTCACACAGGTGGGTGCTCTCAGAGTCCAGGTAGGGTGTGGGGCACCTGTGCAGGGGAGCGAAGTTGGTATCTTGGCAACAAAGTCTGTTTGGGGGTGTGTGGGGTGTTGTCTGGGAGGAGAGTGTAGCTGACAGAAACAAGAAGTCTATTCCACCTCGAGGGTTGCTGATCACATAATAAATGTACTAAGGATAGTTAGAGCTATGGGTCTCGCTATAGAGAATGGTATTTGCAAAGAAAAGGAAAGTACTAGAATAAACTGGTTTTGAACTGGAATTGAAGCTATCCAATAAATATCCAAAATGTAAACTCATGGTTGTATATAAATATGAATGTGAATGTGTGAGTAGAGAGATATATAGACAGCTTCATTATTCTAGAAGCATCAACACCCACATGCCAAAAAGCACCCCTATTGCCCACACCTCTTTGTTACTAGATACTGTTTTTTACTAATAGATATAAGTAATTATTGGGTTAATGATTGGTTCCAGATCTAGGACCTGTCTTTCAGTAGAATGAGAACTCTATGATCTATGAAGTCAGAGTTTCTACTTGGTTCACTGAAAACTTCTATACCACAAAAAGTGAGATTCTGTTATTTCTCTAATTAAAAATAATTTTTTGAGTAGTTCCGAAGCCAAAATTATTTTATATATTACCCCCAGGGGGCGCTATAACAGCATAGGTGTTTGGATGAGAGCGAGCCGGGTTGGGGTGTGGAGGGGGGGTTGAGGATTTGAGCACTTGTCCCACGCTTTGCATAAGAAACTTTGGTACTCAGCTGACTACTCAGAGCTCTATTAATGGGGTTCCCTGTGCTGGTGATCAAGTGTGTCAGACAGTTGAGCTACAGCAAGATGGTGCCACAGTCACAGTCCTCATCTCCCTGATGCTCTGCATTTCAGGTGAGAGGTTTAGAAGAAATATATCTTCAGAGAGCTGGAAAATATTTCATCTACAATAGTCTTATTTCTATGATAAACTCTACATTTTAGATTTACATTGAAGCGATCTAGTGTATGATCAATGTCCACTTGCGTTTGCAGGAATCTCTGGGGTCATCGTGATGACCCAGTCTCCAGACTCCCTGGCCATATCCGCAGGAGAGAGGGTCACCATCTCCTGAAAGTCCAACCCGAGTCTTTCCTACAGCTCCAATCAGAAGAACCTGGTACCACAGAAGCCAGGACAGAAGCCTAAGGTGCTCATCACCGGGGCGTCCACCTGGCAACCTGGGGTCCCCGACTGATTAATTGGCAGCGGGTCTGTCCAGGATTTCAGTCTCACCATCAGCAGCCTCCAGGCTGAAGATGCGGGTGTTTATTACTGTCAGCAGTATTATGAATATCCTCCCACAGTGCTTCAGCCTCATGTATAAACCTCCCCGGCCCCTGGCTCCGTGAATCTTCATGCCGTGGCCACTTCCTTCCTGCTCGGTCCTGTCTCCCCCTCAGTGTGCAAGTTGGCTTCTCCAGCCAAATCATGGACAGATGTGCACGTCTCAGGAAAGATGGAGTCTATCTGTCTCTTCAGTGTTTCCTGCATACAGGAGTCAATCTATGGAGACTCCCCAGTGACCTGTGGGGCAACCTTTTCTGCATTGTTCCAGATGGTTCTGTAATCTGAGTCTGCATTGTCCATAGATTCCTTCTTCCCATTAGGATCATGTCTCTGTGCCGCGCCAGCACGACAGCAGAGATGGTCTGAGCGAAGGACGTCAGGATTAAAGCACACACTCCTTGGTCAGCAAGCAAAGGCACACTTTATTTTTCTCTCCTTCCTTATTTATACCCTTCAGCATGGAGCCTGGTGCTGGGGGTAGGCGGAAGCTCTCAGCAAGTGCATCAATAACATGCGACAATAACATGGGGGTCAAAGAACACAAGGTAGCAAACACAAGGCAGGAACACTTCCTGCCTCCTGTTTTTCTGTTCCAGCACCCATGGCTCATTCTTTGTTTCCACACAACAGTGTGCATATGATTCTGTGGGGGAGGTGGGGAGGTCTGTCCAGGCAAAGGACCCAACATCTCCCCCCTTTTTATTTTGTTAAGCTGAGAACCCCTGTCTTAGGTCTCCACCGACTGTACGCTCTTACCCGTCTTTGAGTGACCTCCAACCCTGTCTTAGGCGAGCGACATGATCAAGTGGGGCTGCCCGTCATAGGGGGGACTCAGGACTTATATATCATCTTGAGCCAGACTTGTAGTGCGTCATGGGTGTCAGCGGTCATACCCAGGAGGACCTGGCGAATGGCTATGCCTGGCTTGACTCTGTTGGATGAAGCGAAACAAGACCCAGAGGCAGATGCTGACCCCCACAAGTAGAAGCAACACAAGTGAGAGCATTCCTGCCACCGCTCCCCAGCCACCAAAGCTAGCCATCGCGTTCCACCAAGAGGTCGCCTGGATAGAAGGGACTTGGGTACTATTGATGTTAACAATATGATGGGCCATCTGCAAGGTGTAATTAGGAAAGAGAAATTCCATGGGCCACACAAATAGGCATTCAGTTGTTTTACAATTTCAAAAGCGTTACTAGAGAGAGAGTCCACAACTTCCGCCGTCAGGGCTGTCTGTTGTAACAGGAGGCCAGCCATGATGGCAGCAGTGGCGGCGATGGCAATGGCAGCAACAATTGCAGCGGTAATCCTGAAGTCCCGCCGCTGTCGATAGAGCAGCGCGCTCCTGGGATACTTCTACAGGCAGGGGAACCACCGTGGGCACTCGAACGACCAGCGTGCCATCAGAGCCGTCCCAGCAATCACTCAGTCTGCAGTTCCTGAAAGAACAATTGAAAATCTCGCCCCCCACAGTGGAGTTCCACAGTACAAAGAAAAAGGGGGCAAGAATGCAAGTGGAAGATTGTATGGTCAAATTTCGTCTGGCCTGAAGTTTTTCCTGAGTTAAGGGCCACTGCTCCACCCAAATTGGCTTATTTGATTTCCAAGTTATAGGGAGTGGGGCAGTGACCCTGATTAAAAATGGCCCGAGGCGCCGCAGTTGAAGCAGGTCTTATTGCCAGCGGCCAGGGGTCCGTGCCCGGACCTAACAGCAGCAGCAATGACTTGGCCCTGAGTAAAATGCCCATCAATGTCGCAACAGATCCGAATATATTCATTTAGACTCTTGGCCCTATGCGAGCGCAAGGCCTCCTTGTCAGATGAGCTCTCCTCCACGCTAGAGATGGGGCTACCCTCAGTATCAGAATCTAGATGGGTCTGAGGTATAGCCCGCAGACGCGCAGACTTGGGCGTAAGGCCCAAGCTGTCGTTAGGTTCCGAAGTTCGTTCAATTATGTCAGACTTTTACTCCAACTCTTATGAGCTGACCCTGTCCTTATTTTGGCCATCTCTCCAGTCGGGGCGCTCCTGATGCACTTCTGTCCAGTGAAAGGTCTCCAGCACTAGCCACCCAATCTCTATGTAAGGTTCCTAAGCCAAAATAAAATAAAGTTCCGAAGCTTCTGACATCAAAGAAAACCTCTGAACTTTTTACTCACTTCTGTAGAGTTGGTTGAGATGAGGGAGGCGACGATGATCAAATCATTGTCCTGAGTAGAGCCAGAAATCCCTCCCTCGGGGCTCCAGGGTGGATTCGCTTTCTGACCGGCTCCACTTCTCTGTGGCACCTATTGCAGATGATTTGTTAGCTGAGAGTGAAAGTACACGACTGAAAATATTCTAGACATACAGAGATGAAAACCTAATTTACTTGCATAAACACAACTTGGGGTTAAGGCTACCAGAGGGGAGAGAGAGAGCAACGGGGGAGGCAGCCCCGTGGACTGTGGTGGAGGACTGTGGGGTGCCCCGTGGCGACACACGTGGAGGTGGGATCTTACACGCCACATCACATGTGGTGTCAGAAACCACCGTCACTGCGCCCCCTGCCCTGTGCCAGCGTGGAAAACTAGAAACACGCCAGCTTTCACAGCCAGCACTTTCCCACTTTTATTGAAACTTCTGCTCTTAGAGATGCATCACACATATTTCAGTTTCCCGTCTTTTGGGTGTTATATTAAGAAGTCTCTTAGCTGAACTGTCTGTTTCTGAGGTTCACGTCTGCTGTGTGTCACTCCATGTCAGTTTCCTAAGTATGTAAGTGAAGGACTCCGTGGTGGGGGTGCGCCCAAGTGTTCTCAGCCACACATTTATATGAGCATGAAGGAGCTGGCGCTCAGCCACGTGAGCATCAGGGCCACGTCCACTTGTACCACTTGGCACCCCACGCGATGTGTGAGCATCCAGCTGCTCCGCATTGGCAGTCGTTTTTTTCTTTGTCATGTTACTGAAAGTTTGGTGGTAGTTGTGTTATTCTTCAGTGTTCTCACTTTTTATGTATCTTGTTGTCTGGTTGCACATATAATTGACTTGTGATCCTTTCCAGAATGGTCTGAGGTGTCACCTTTGCCATTAGAAGCTTCCGTGTCAGGCTGGTCTGTCTCTGTCCCTCTGGACTCCCCTTCGGTTCATCGCACGCTGGCTGTGGGTTAAGATAGCTGTACCTGTTCACACAACCGTTGTTTACTGCAGTGATGTTGCTGTTTTATTGCATTATTTGGGCCCATTGGCCTGTCTTCGGGTATGTTGTGCCTTCCAGAGGTGTGTCCATCCAAGGGAGTCTGACTGGTGGTTGCTGCTCAGCAGAAGGAACAATCCAGTAATCAGAGTTCAAATCTTGCCAAGTTAAATTTCAGAATTCAATATTTCCACAAAACAGAGATGTTAGACTGCAGACAACCACCCCAGTTGCCAGAGCAGGAAGCAGCTGCCCTTACACACAAGCACTGGGGTCTCCTGGAGGTTTTTGTTTCACGTTGAATCACTGTGGTACCCACTATTATGCTGATAACAGTAATAAGTGGCAACATCTTCAGGCTCCAGGCTGGTGATGGTGAGCGTGAAGTCTGTCCCAGAACCGCTGCCACTGAAGCGGGCTGGGATGCCATTGGGCCTGCTGTTTACCTTATAGATGAGGAGCCTGGGAGCCTGCCCAGGTTTCTGCTGGTACCAGGCTAACCAGTTGCTAACACTCTGACTGGCCCTGCAGGAGATCGTGGCCCTTTCTCCTTGAGACAATGATAGGGAGGCTGGAGACTGTGTCAGGACAATCTCTCCAGAGGAACCTAAATAGGAAACAAAACACATAAATCGCCCATGTAATCTCTATCTTCACTTTCTCCCCAGCACAGCCAGGCAGACTGATCAGCACTGAGCTCCCATTATTGTCTCATGAGTGAAGAGCCAGGTCCCAGGAATTTATCACCCAAAGTGTCCTCTGAGGGCAGCACCCTCCCGTGTCCTCACCTGGGAGCCAGAGCAGCAGGAGGCAGAGAAGCTGCGCTGGGGCTTCCATGGTGCCTGTGCCCTGGCTGAGGCAGCTCTTGCCCAGAGCCTGCCCAGCCTGATATGGGCCCTGGGCAGCAGGGGGCTGGGGGCATGCAAAGCAGGGGTGGGCACCCTGGCCTGCAGCTGCAGAGACCAGAGGCCTCATGTTCTCTGTGCTTGAGCAGCCACCTGCACGTTACAGCCCAGTCACACAGGGGGTGACCTGAACAAAATGGATGCCTTTCTCCTCAGTCTTTCTGGACATCTGCCTTGGTGCATGTCTGGGTCAGATTGGGTGAAGGAGTTTATCAACAAGGACTCTGGATTTGCTTCATCTGTGTGAAGCATGAGACACACACTGAGTAGGGCCAGCAATGTGGGTGCAGGGGCGTCACCATTGCCCAGATGAGGGGACCATCTGTGTACTGACACCATATCATGAAGCAGAAGGGGGTGCTGAGAGACCGGAGATGGGGTGGGGAGGGCGGCAGGCGTGTAGTCTCTCGCGGGGTGACCCTGCCTTCTCCAAGCCTCCGCGTCTCCACATTCTGCACAGGGCTTCCAGCTCACCAGACCCAGCTCCCTGGTCTTAAAAATTTAGGAACTTTTGTTCACAAGCCTGATGGGGATGTGATCCCACTGGAGGATTCCTTGTGTTTCTCAGAATTGTTGGCAAGTCAGGGTGGCTGCAGACCCCACATCTCTCCAGCAAAGGTCTGAGGACCTCCCTGGGTCTCTGCTCAAATTCCATTTCTCTAAAGCTGCTGCTTCCTAATGCAGGGAGAATCTTCTGTTTCCCTTTCCTTGAGCTCCATGGTGATGAGACCAACTTGCTAACACACTGCCAGGGCCAGTCAGCCCTCCACACGCATTCAGGGGTGAGAGCCTCCCCCGGCCATCGCGGCTGGGGACCATGCAGGTCCCACAGTCGATGATGGGGAGACCACTGCTGGCTGTGTGACATCTCACCACGCTCCTTGTCTCACCTTCGGTTTTTCTAGAATAATCGTAGCGCCGTGACTCTGTACAGTCTGGGGTACAGATGTGTTTCTGCCACAGGCATGGCCTCGTGCTGCCTCCACTAACGGGGTCACAAGTCCCAAGCCTCACTGGGTGATGAGTTCAGCCCCTCATATGCACCCCAGGACTTGCAGACTTCACCTCACTTTTTCCCAGGGCCCATAATCAATGCTTTCCTGGGAAAGGCTTCACCACTCAAGTGTCACATTGTTTTCCTTCTTGTATAATTCTTCTTCAGCTTTTTACATCTAAGTCATAACTTAGAATCCATGAGAATCATCACCATGGAATTGGCCCTGTTCACTATATTGTTTTCAAATTTTTCTATAAGTCATTTCCAATGTCACCGTAAGAAGTGTAATCCTTATTTTTAAATTTTTACAAAAGGGCAAAATGTGTGAATTCATGGATCAAGTATTAGTATGTGCAATGACTAAAATTTTTAGTAACATATTCTAGAAGAATTGAATAAATGAGAGTACAATTACATTTCCGTGTTTCATTTTGGAGTAATGACAATTCTTGATTTTTCTTTTCCTTTTTCCTTCCTTTAATTTTTTTTCAGATGGATGTCCAGCTTTCCCAGCACCATTAACTGAGAGATCTCCTTTTCTCCATGCTTCTCTTCTGTCCTTTTACCAAAGAGCCATTCACTTTGATGTTTGTTGGGCTGTAGTTTGGCTTCCTTTTTCTAATCCCCTAACTTGTCTTCTTTCCACACGATGCTGACTGGATTATTGTGGCTTTATCATCAGTGTTGAAATCAAGTGTGTGTACCCAATTTGACATATTCTTTCATCTTGGTCTTTCCTTAATTTCAATAAACATTTACTCATTTAGTTTTCATGGCATTTTTATTATGTCACTAACAATATTTTACATCTTTTATGATCTTCAAACAGTTTCTCCTATTTTGTGTTAGTCAGAAAGTAACTTGGCAGTGTCATTTCAACAAATGACTTTCAGCCAAAATTTTCTAAATGACTTCATTGGCTAAGACAATGTTTTTAGCTGAAGTAAACAGCCTCTTAAAATGCAGCTTTAGAGCCATATACATCCCCTGTCATCGTGTAAAAAGCAGATTCTCACTTAGTAAGTCTAGAGCCAGCTGCTCTTTTATGTTTCTTCCAATCATCCTGCAGGACGATGATGACGGTGAAGAATTCTGAACAAATTTTGAGCAACAAGGAATTTTGACATTGAGGTAAATTGATGCACCATAGACATTTACACTTCTTATCCTACAAAATGTTTTTACTTGATTGTGAAATGGTGACTTTACATATCATGTAATTTCTACTTAGATGTATAATATTCGCTATACTGTTACTGTTGTTGCTTGCTCTGAGCCCAGTCTAGCTGATGGCGGTCGGGAGCTTCAGAGGAAAGTCGCACAGTGACTTCGGCCTTCCCACTTATATACTGTCCTTGATTTTTCATTTTCACTCAAATTTTAATTTTTCCCCTCATGCTTAGTAAAACAGTCAGAATCAATTCTTATTGTCATTTATTTGGGATGTTCCAGTATCTTCCTTTTAAACTCTTCACTGTATCATTTTCAATGTCATAAAGATAGGGTCTTTATGTTAATATGTTGTAAAATGGGATTATTTATGAAATTATAGATCAAGAAATAATGGGAGTGGTGACCAAATTTTTCATGACCTCTGCTAGAATAATTGCATGAATGGGGAGATGAGAGCAGAATGATAATCCAGGCTCCTCTGTGTGTGGTGGTCATGATTAGAGCCTCTTACCCTTATATAGACGTGCGCTGTGGCGTTGATACGATGGGTCCAATCCTTCAGCCTCACTGACCTAACACCCTCATTATAGGGTCACCCCAATGGAGGGGTCTGAGCCCACCCAGCAGCCAGCCGTGTCACAGCGACAGGTGAGCTCAGGCTTCTCAGAGCAACAAGCTCGCTCACTCCCACCATCTGTGTCTCCTAGTCTCATAGTTTTAAACTTTGCAAGTTAGAGTTTAGATTCAAATGAGATTTCTATGAAATCAAACACTACCAGGATAGTCTGTGGGTCTTCTCCTGGGCTCTATGAGCCCAACTGATGCCATTGCCAGGATTCCAGGTATGGGCCTCTGTGTGTGTTAATCAGAGGGGCTCTGCCCATGGTGCTGCTAACACTGAGGGGTGGAGACTGAAGGTTCCAAGGAGCCTCCCTGCCCCTTGACCGTAACTTCATAGCCATCTGCAAAGCATTGCTGCTTCTCCCACATGTCTCAGCTGAGGGATGCCAGGAGGAGCAGCTGGGCTGTCAGGCCTCAGATATCTGCTCCCTGGGTGGTTTTTGTTCAGGCCTGTGTCACTGTGGTTGCCATTGTCTTTCTGCAAACAGTAGTAAGTGGCGGCATCCTCAGGCTCCAGGCTGCTGATGGTGAGCGTGAAGTCTGTCCCGGACCCGCTGCCGCTGAAGCAGGCTGGGGTGCCATTGGGCCTGCTGAATGCCTGGGAGCCTGCCCAGGTTTCTGCTGGTACCAGGCCATGTAGTTGCTAACACTCTGACTGGCCCTGCAGGAGATTGTGGCCCTTTCTCCTGGAGACAATGACAGGGTGGCTGGAGCCGGTGTCAGGATAATTTCTCCTGATGTGCCTGAAATTGGAAACAGAACACATA